GCAGTAGAAAGGCTTCAGAAAGAGTCAGGAGCCCAGAGGAAGGGGCAAAGGAGGTGAGGGGATGGGGGCAGAAAGAGGAGACGAAAGCAGACGACAGAACATTGCTAGAGAGCAGGAAATGAGGTGAAAGGAGACAAATTTAGAGAAGAAAATTTTTCGGTTGCTACCCGGATTCGAACCTGGGACCTTTTGAATGAGAGGCCAACACCTTAACCTCTAGGCCACGAGAGCCCCGTACCATACATTATTGACACAGGAGAATATTGACACAACACAATACTGATACATTGATAAAACTCAATATGCATACAGGGATAAAACACAATATTGATACAATACAATATTGACATTTTAGTACAACACTATATTGATACAACACAATAATATATATTAATACATTGATACTATATCAATACAACACAATATATTAATACATTGATACAACGCAATATTGATACATTAATACGACACAATATTTATGCATTGATACAACACAATAATGATACATACAAAACAGTACTGATACATACAACACATTATTATATATTAATTCATTAATATTGTGATATATTGATACAACACACTATTAATACATTGATACAACACAATATTGATACAACACACTATTAATACATTATTACAACACAATATTGCAACTATACAATGTTGGCACCATATAGTACTGACACAGGACAATATTGATACAACACAATATTAGTACCATACAATGCTGAAAAAAGACAAGTAATACACAACAGTATACTGACACAGGACAATACTAGCATAGGACAATACTGACACAGGACAATACCGACACAACACAATATTGACACAGGACAATATTGACACAGGACAATACTGACACAGGACAATACTGACACAACACAATACTGACACAACACAATACTGACACAACACAATACTGACACAACACAATACTGACACAGGACAATACTGACACAGGACAAAAATGACACAACACAATACTGACACAACACAATGCTGACACAGGAAAATACTGACACAGGACAATATTGACACAACACAATACTGACACAGGACAATACTGACACAGGACAATACTGACACAGGACAATACTAACACAGGACAATATTGACACAACACAATACTGACACAGGACAATACTGACACAGGACAATACTGACACAACACAATACTGACACAACACAATACTGACACAGGACAATACTGACACAGGACAAAAATGACACAACACAATACTGACACAACACAATGCTGACACAGGAAAATACTGACACAGGACAATACTGACAAAAGACAATACTGACACAACACAATACTGATACAGGACAATACTGACACAGGACAATACTGACACAACACAATACTGACACAGGACAATACCGACACAACACTGTACTGACACAACACAATACTGACACAGGACAATACTGACACAACACAGCACTGACACAACACAATACTGACACAGGACAATACCGACACTACACAATACTGACACAGGACAATACTGACACAACACAATACTGACACAGGACAAAAATGACACAGGACAAAACTGACACAGGACAATACTGACACAGGACAATACTGACACAACACAATACTGACTCAACACAATACTGACACAACACAATACTGATACAGGACAATACTGACACAGGACAATACTGACACAGGACAATACTGACACAACACAATACTGATACAGGACAATACTGACACAACCCAATAATAACACAACACAATACTGACACAACACAATACTGACACAACACAATACTGACACAATACTGACACAACACAATTCTGACACAACACAATACTGACACAGGACAATACTGACACAGGACAATACTGACACAGGACAATACTGACACAACACAATACTGACACAACACAATACTGACACAGGACAATACCGACACAACACTGTACTGACACAACACAATACTGACACAGGACAATACTGAAACAACACAATACTGACCCAGGACAATACTGACACAACACACACTGGAAAATGCTGAAACAAAACACCTTTAAAAAGTCAGATGGCCCACTGGGGCCTGAATTCCACATACCCTGTACAAACTTACAGCCCTGCCTCGCCAACCTCATACTTTTACTATTCACTTTCTCATGCGCATCTGGAAGCAGACGTTGTCTTCGTTTGTTGCCATACCACTGGACGCACAGTCCAAACTGAACCATTGCGGGTTTTACTATGTGTGCTCACTTTCTAAAAAGAAGATCTATTGACACTGTTATACAGTTTTTACCGACCAACTGTGTATTTATCCAGCCATTTAAAGTTTTCATTTGACCGATGTTAAAACATGTTAAGAAAAAGTCTAAGTACAAGGTTATTGTACTACAGATGGCTTAGCTACATGTACAAGCTCAAAATAGCTATAGTACAAATACTGGGAATCCTTTGTTGAAAACTTTTCTTTAAAACCGTTGTACTTTTCACCCACAGGGTGACCAAGAGCTAAGAATAGACTTTGTGTACGGAGGCATCAACTATGTCCACACGTATTTCCCCTTTCGCGTGGCACCTGTTCAAGAAAACTTCCGGTTACTCCTGGGATCCTACAGAGACGATATTTTCTATTCGTTTCACAATGGTGCAGTGTTTTCTACCAAGTACAATGACAAGACCAGCGTGAAATGCCCCTTTGAGTACAACAGCGGATGGTGGTATACTGCTTGTCATAGAGTACAATTGAACAATGTCTGGGGCGAAACTGCGTATGCTAAAATGTTGGTATGGAACACTACCACAAGTTTTCGGGAAGGAGTCGAGTTCGTCACCATGAAAATCCGACGCCGCGCTAACAAGTGAGATTCTCAGTCTGCGTGTATTTTGAATAACTCCAACACAGCTCGTTTTCTGGACAAAACAATATTGGAAACAAAAAGTACGAAATGAATATTTTTCAAAATGCTCTAAAAAGGTTCTTTTCTCTCGTCGTTTCAGTCACCGAAATGATTGACAAACTACGAGCAGAGATGACAGGCTTGACTTATTAATAAAATCTTGTGTTTCTGGGAGTTTCAACATGCGCTTCCTGGATCGTAAAGAGACTTCCTGATGTTCTTGTTTTTTTCGTTATATAATTTACCCAGTTTTGTATTCCAAGTTATTCAATTCTATGCTGTATGCAGTACACAGTACTCTTATCTTGTCCATTGAAAAATTATGTACTTACAGTCAGAATTTTATCAGGTGAATTTCGTCGATGATTTGTTCAGTATTTTTTCTCCTTCTCTTTTGGCTCTGAATAAAATCTTTCTTGTTTTAATTTGTACGCGTATTACTTTTGTATGACGGTATCAGTTTAGTTTATTGTTATAAATGTTTTACACGTTCATCAAACACCGGATTAGATTATTTTTGAGGAAGCGGCCTTGACCTTGCCTGTCAGGGACAATCCGGTCTGGGTCGGATACAGCAAGGCGACAAAAAGACAGAGGTACAATAAATGTACTCGATAAAAAAAACCTTCCCCAGACAGGAGGATATCGTACTCATGATTTTTTGCGCGCATAAACAAAGAACCTTTCCGCTTCTCCTGAAACTTCGATCAGAATTATTTAACGTCCTGGTAGGCAATTGATACGAACGTTACGGTGTAGATGCCTTCTCCTTCCCCGGATGTGTCGTTTAGTCAGATAGCTCAGATGGAGTCACGTCTCAAAAACGACCATCAGTTGACAGAGAGATTACGCTGTTAGTTTATATTGGAAACTCTGAGGGAAGTCATATTATAAAAATGAAAGGCTTGATTCTCCGTTTCATACTGCACATTTTGGTAGAGGGTATGTCCCTGTATCTAGAACGGTTTTGAACACGAGTACCTTTGTTTCAATATACAATGTAACTCTATAATCTGTGGGTTTATGAAGGAGGATGCTATAAATAAGCATATACTGCTCCATCAGCACTGCGTGCCACCCCTCCATTGGTGAAATGTCACTCTTGAACATCGACACTCGCAATACTCAGATGTGCATGTATGATGAAATTTACTTCAGTTGCTCGTCTGTCCTCTTCCTTTATTTTCTCCTTTCATTTCCGTTTACATCGAGCGGACCAAGATATATCCTGGTGCTGGCCCCTTAACCCTATCCGTACGTCGCGTTTTACTATCGTATCCATACGACGTGGGGAACTCTGTGTCACCACTTTTCAAAGAGGAAACTTACTTGTTAATCTGATCCGTGAGCTTAGCATAGCAGTCTGTCAAAATGATTTTTTGAGAAATACTGAAAGTTTCAAAGAGATCTTTGTACTAGAAGTATTCTAAAATGTGAAGAATACAACCCTGGAGGTACAAAATGACTCCAGGGCGTTCGGATAGAGTTAACAGGGGTGGCACTCATAGCTGCAGACTCTCCTGAGACCTAAAAAAAAATTATAGTTCGTGATCTCTTAAGCAATGTGGCAGGCTCCGCACAGATACGGACGTTTATTGTTTACTGTTGCCCCTGACAAATCAGTGTTTCGCCTCATGAGAGCCTAAACAAGTTCTAATGTGTGATATAGGGTGCACAGCGACGGCTGTACCGAAGAAAGATAGCGAAAAAAAAGTTGAAGGGATCACCTGCACTCGTTAACTGTATCAAAGTGTGGTGTGTTTAGGAAGAGATCCTCATTTAACATATTAGTAAAACTCACATTCAACTGTTTCTCACATTTGACTGCTTCTATCTTGCCTCAGAAAGCTGCCGTTTAATATTAAAAACTGGAACCCGTTGCTTCGACTGTTAATTACTGCTTTAGACAGACAACACTCAAGTACTGTCTTAACTATTTTTGCCTTCGCTGTAGTAAGAGTGGGACATTTAGGTGTATCTCTTGATTAACGGGATTTTTCTAAGTCATCTATTACACAATTTCAATAAGTGCTGGAAACAGCTCAGTTTAAAGGTTAATTCACTGGGCATAATATAAAGACATCCACGGTTGTCGTTTGGTGATACCTTTGGGTCAATTCACATTTGAATTAAGTCATACTAAAGTCTTAAAGTGATCAATGTGACAATACAGTGTCACCTTCAGACAACTGTATTGTGTTGTGGCAGCTGTCTTGAAGATTTGATTAATCTAAACTTTGAAAGTAGAACGTTTTGACCATTCCAAGACAGGTCCAAGATCTCATGTCATTCCAAACAAAAATTACAGACCACAATAACCTGTATCCGTTCTCCCGGAAGAAAACTTCTCAAAGCGGAGCGCAACAAAGGATCAGAACACGGATTTAACTCTCGACTTGGCCCATTCTTAACCCTGTACCATCATTATTTTACGGTCCGTCTTCTGCTTCTCCATAATATATCTATGGGTGACGGCGATGTAGCGATTGGGCGCCTCGCCATCGCACCCTGGAGACCAGAGTGAGGAGAACGTGTATCGAGTACCTCGGTCTTTTTGTTGTGGTACTGTATCCCTTTCAGCCCAGATTGGCGATGAAGGAGAAGTTGGAAGTCTACCTCCTAAACGCTCTGTATTATTAGTGTGTTGACTGAGGTGTGTGGGCGGGGGGGGGGGGGGTGTAAAAAACACCTACATATCTCCATCTAAAAGTGCATCTTTATGACCTTTAAGGCCTATATCCCCATCCTCGCCGCCCCTGGATCTCAACTTTCCTCCTCATTATTACTTCTCCCCCCGTACTACTCCCGCCCTGTCATGTACCCGCACACTCTCCTCCTCCTGATACTGGCAGTTCTCCCCCTTCCCCACTACACCCCTCCTCCCTCATTCTCAACCACGAATACGAGCTGGCCACCGTTCACGGTCACAAGTGATTTAGAAATATATAGAAATCACCTTCTGTATAACAAAACCACATCTCCATTTTTTATGATTGACCTCAAGTTGAAATGGTACATCTCCTGTGAAACATTTGATATTATGTTGTGAGTCAATCTGAAATATTTGTGGCTGTATGAGACCAAATAATTATCATGTCCTAGTAAACACAAGGATTGTTGAACTTGTAATCAGACTTTCATAGAAAACCATAATATTGTTTCTGGAAGCAATGACACACTACAAAGAAAACATTTTCATTTTCATAGAAATTCCCTTAAAACCTCAAGCAATAATTAATGTTGAGGTACCCCTATACTTTCCAAATTCCACTCCCTCAATAATTAACTTTACCCACCAACAGTATCGTAAGACGGGCAAAATTATCAACCATTCCTTAAAAATCAAAAACAAATTTTGAATGGAAACACTCAGCATTTCAAAATTCAAATACAGGGTGATTCAAAAAAACAAACTTTACAACTTGTTTTGTAAATATCTTCCTCCATACTGAAGTTTTGCGTTTCACATTTGAACATAACGTTTGAAAGCCAAAAGGAATTTGCCTGATATGTATTTTAGATAAGTCTGGTGAATGGTTTTGCTCTATATAGCGCATTAAAAAAACAACCCATTTTCAACCTTGTCGCCATTTTCATAGCACGACGCACCAGTTCCCATTAGGCCTACCACTAAAAGTTGCAACAATGGAGCCATATTGCAAGCTACAGCAGTCTGACAAGTAAACAGAAGTCTGCAGATATTATTTTTCCCAAATTTTGTTTGGCTGCTAAGATCATGGCTAAGTCTAGTAAAGAGCAGAGAGCTTTTTGTCTTGAACATTACCTCTCCACAAACACACCACCCCTAACATTTCATAAGTTCTGCGCACAGCATTGAGAGAATGCTTAGGTGCCCTCAAGACCTTTGGCGTCATGAGTAGAGAAGTTCCGTCAGTTTGGATCTATAGCAAATAAGAACTAAAAAGTTCTTTAAAAATGACCACTTCATGTCGAACACGCACCAAGCGCAGCTCTTTAAACGTCACCAGAGTGCAGATTTCAGTAGCCGAGTCCCATGAGACGTCTCTCCGTAGACGATCTGCAGCTAGGACTTTCTTACACATCTACAGTCTGCATTCTCATGGTAGATTTTAACCTTCGACTATTCGATGTTCATCTTCGCTAAGCCGAGATGAAAAGGATCAGAGCATGGCAATGTGTTCATGATTCTTCTATTGTCTTGTAATGAGGGATCATTTCCTTGATAACATTTGGTTTAGTGCAAAGCCCATTTTCACCCTGCGGGATATGTTAACTCCAAAAATGCAGTCTATTTGGCACCCCAATCTATTGTTTCTAGAAGCCACTTCTTAGTGAACACGTACAGTTTATGTGGCTTTAAAAACTCATGGTTTAACAGGGCCTTGAGTTAGGGCGTTACTAGACATTTCGAACGGCGCGTTAAAAATGTGTCGAGTCCAAAGGAGGAATTTCAGAATGAAATCATTAGGTTTTTAAAACTCTGTAAAAGAAATTAAATATTGTTTAAATGTCACAGGGATGGAAAATTAATGTCAAAGACAAAATAAAGAAAAGGGTCAACTAATCTTTTCACGACTTCCTTTACAAGATTTTTAAACATTGGTGGACTTTGCGTATTTGGGTGCTTTTTTCTTTTAGGCGTTACCGTTTTCAAAACATGTTTCTTGTTCGTGGATTTTGTATCAAACAAATTCCTTTTGAATGAATTATGTCTGTTCCAAATTACAGAATTCTAGAACAATTTTTGCGCGAGATATTCTGAAAAAACGTTGTAAAGTTGTTGTTTTTTGGATCTCCCTGTACCTTTACGTTGGTCTCCATCGACATAATCAACCAGGATCTGACTTCACATTTTCAAATGCCATTCTCACATGGCCCTTTACCACTTCACTGGGCTCCAGTTGTAACAGTCTTGGTAATACCAGGATGTCTTTCGATTACAGTAGGCTTATTTTAAAAAAGTTCTTTTTAACAGGCTTTTGGGGAGGGGGAGGGGACATGAACATCTATACCAGTATTCCAACCATCAACAAAATCTTAAAAGAAACAGACGTGACTTCAGAAAAACGTGCAAATTAACGGGAAACAGCACCCAACATGACGAATTGCTTCTGTGAGGCCCACTTTAAGGCCGAAGTTGTGTGAGCAGGGTAGAGAAGGGGGGGGGGGGGGGGGGGGGGGGGGGGGGGGGACTGGACGTACTTGGATGATGAGGAAAATATGAAGTCAGTGACTTAACGAACACAATAAAGGGCTAAACATAGATTTCATGGATCAGAAAGAGGCTTGCAACTGAGTAAACTTACGCCTTCTGTGGAAATGTCTGGAGGAATATGGGGTGAAAGGCCCATGGCTCTTTACGAGAACAGTCTTTGTGCCTTGAGAACATCAGAAGGGCTCATTGACTAGTTCACTGTATTGGAGGTCGGTGGACAATCATACAGGTACCTACTGACCTCTACTGTCTGCCGCTCCTACTTTCTGAGGCTATGGAAGCCGGTGTCTATCTTCTTGTCTAAACAGCACCATATGAGGTTATGACATGTGCTCATCACATTACAGCTGACAGAATAGAGAAGAACATGGAAACAAATCATGGACCCGGAAAAATGGACTCCATCCCTTTCACTTGTTCTAAGCACTAAATCTATGTTAATATGAAAGTCTTCTCCACAAATGTCATTCACTTTGAAAACTATAAATCGTAGCAAGAGAGCAAGTTCGTCTTCAAAACTGAAATCCACTCCCACTCTAAACTAGACATCATTTATGAATTTACAGAGTGAATGGAGAGGGGATATTTACTATATTATCAATATAGGAGCTAATCATTTACACCCCCCCCCCAATTTTCTCTCTCCCTATATCTCTCTCTCTGTCTGCCAGACTGTCTCTTTGTCTCTATCTCTCTCTCTCTCTATCTGTCTATATACCTATCTATCTATCTGTCTCTGTGT